CTGGCTCATGCGATGTTTTACCTACTGACTGCGGTAATTAAAGGAAAACTACGAGATTGCAAAGGAGTGAGCCGTCGGAAAGTCAACAGCGGTAGTCTAACTTCAGTTGATCGAGCTACGGCGCATTCTGGCCACCATGGCGGGGCCCTCAGGCAAGTGAAGGTATCAAGGTCCTTTCGCGCGAGTCTAAGAGCACCCTTCTTGTATCTGAGCGACTCAAGCTTTCTATTTTTGCCATTCTCACTCTAAGTCTGGTCAATTGGTTATAAGAGGAAGGCGGCAGGCGGGATTGCAATCCGTAGGACCGCATCAAGACTCTGTGGGGAGTTCACCCGCCGATTGCGGGAGCTCTACCGGAACCTAGGCGAGGTTCTGGAGGCAGGGAACCATCAGGTATATATTTTTCTGTCTGTATGACACCACTATACCCCTGTTTGACTATTTGTTTTTAATTTGACTGACTGTATGCATGTGTTCCCCTATGATTTTGCTTTCTTTCAGGATCTAATCACACTAAATGGAAGGAATGGGTGTGAAAAGCTTAAGTTTCTTCTTATTTTGACTGAATGCATACTAAGGGGTGAACTTGGGGAAGGTGGGAGGAAGGCAAACTGCATGCGTTTGACCGGGTCAACCAAGGACTGGCATTGTTTCTAAGCTGAATGGTCCAGGATTATGTTTATTTAGCTGTTTTCTGAAGGGTCAAGCATTGTTTCTAAGTTGAATGGCCTGGTTGCTGTGTTTAATTTATGAGGGTTTGCATGAATTGAAAAGTTTAAGTTTTTGTTTCATTCTGAGGGAGGATTTTGGTCTAAGGCTGAACATTGTTTCTAAGCTGAATGGTTTAGCTTGAAAATTACGCACATAAGTATAAATTGAGTATAAAATAAAGTATTCTACTTATATTTGCATGTGAACTGGCAGCTAGGCATTGTTATCAAGCCGAATGGTCCAGCGCTAAGCCATATCGCTAAGAAGAGAAGAGAATTACATAGTATAATTGGAAGTAATTTGGGTAAGCTAAACATTGTTTCCAAGCCGAATGGTCCAGTCCCCTGCCCATATCTGCATTTCTTTTGAGAATGAAGTCAGAGAGCTACTAAATTTTATATACTAAATAGTTCAGGGCGGCTAGGCATTGTTTCCAAGCCGAATGGTCTAGTCAAATGCCCAAAGAAGAGAGAAGTAGTAGTGCAACCTGTTTGTGTATATCTTAAGGCACGCTGGACATTGTTTCCAAGCCGAATGGTCTAACATTGTGGTATATGTAAGTTGGGTATGAGGATTAAATCATCTGAGGGTTTCATGAACTATCTTATATAAAGTGACTTGAGGCTGGTGATAGTACTTACCTTTGTGGTTTGGCCTTGCATGTGATTGAGTGAGATTACTACTTTGTCTGAGTTTCAATTTGATAGGTAGTTGCTTTAGATGCTCGCCACGTGCTAGAGCCATAAGAGTTGTTTTCAATTCCTGCATTTTCTGAGCTAAGTTTTTTTACTTAGATCAATTTCTGCATTTTCTGAGAATTTTGACTATACTTGGTCTTGTATAAATCTTGGTAGGACACTTTCTCTACGGGAAGCGCTGCCGAAATTTCTACAAAACCAAGCAGTTAGTCACATTTTGTCATTTCAAGGGTCTAGTTTTTCTGACTTTCTGGCTTAGTAAAAATATGGAAAACCTCCTTTTCTAAAGGGAGTGTTGCCCAAAGTTTTTGCTAATTCAGGGAGTTGGACAAAACTAGACGTTGAGAAGTCAAAGTCACTTTATATTCTGAACTTAGCTTTGTATAAATCTTGGAATAATACTTTCTCTACGGGAAGCGCTGTCGAAATTTTTACAAATCTAAGAAGTTGGTTAAATTTTGTCTTAGTTGAACTCAGATTTTATGTTTGAGTTCATATCTGACTTAGTATAAATCTGGGAAGTCTACATTTCTAAAGGAAGTGTTGCCCAAATTTTTACTAATTCAGGGAGTTAGATTTTGACTTTCCAGAGTTAGAGATCGTTTCTGTTTTCATATTTGAGTTATTATAAATTCTGTGAAGACACTTTCCCTGCGGGAAGCGCTGCTGAAATTTTCTTAGTTTACAGGAGTTATATTATATTTTGACAGGTGACAATTATGACAATCCACTCTGTATAGAAAAGATTATGAAAAAGGTCTACCTTTTCATTAGGTACTGACTTAGGGGTAGACTTAGGATTAGCTACGTAGAATGATTCTTGGTGAGGTCGTAATTATGAAGACTATTCTCAATTTGGACTCATAGATTTAGTTTGGGGATTGCCTTGTCTTGTGTTACAGGTCCTCTTGGACGTTTGATTTGAAATCAGGACTAGATTCAGCTTGATCCTACAAGGATCACCTTTTGTTATCACTGATAACAGGCCGGTTGCCTATTCGTCGGCCTACGACGCAACTCCAATTCACCAAGATGCATAAATAACGCACGTCCGCCGAATGGAGAATGAAATACATACCTTTATCAATTGTAGCGCTTATATGGTCTTAATATATGGATCAAATACATTTCGTCCCACATATCCATTCTCCATTCGGCGGACGTGTTTTATTTATGCATTTTTCTACGCTTCGTCTTAATGCGCCACGAGTGCCCTGCCTGTACGCTTTCTTTTCATTAAATTCATAATCCAGACCGTTCTATTCTATTTCAATTAACGCACACCATACATAATAAGAAAGATGGTGTTCGTCGGCGGGTAAGCAAGTAGATGGCGAGTCTAGGCCGAACAGAGATGGGCTGCACAGAGGTCGCTTTATTTATCAGGTCAACCAACGTCCAAACATACCGCTACCAATAGATAAAGAGGTTTTTCTTATTGTTGTTTTATTAAGGTTTTCACCCGAACTTTTATTGAATGGTCATTTAACAAAGGTATTGAGTATTAAATTATGGTTGGTTGGATAAGGGTTGAGGCTTGCATGACCAAAGCGAGGGGTATGGGTATAGAGGTTGGTTGAAGTTGACTCCGTGTAGTGCTTGGACTCTTGGTTGACTCTTTGATGTGATTGCAGATATGTTGCATGACTAAAGCGAGGGGTATGGGTATAGAGGTTGGTTGAAGTTGACTCCGTGTAGTGCTTGGACTCTTGGTTGACTCTTTGATGTGATTGCAGGTATGTTCTGTGACCTGGATTTTGAATTTGACTGTCTGCGATCTCACACATATATATGACTGTGAGGAGTCTCACTGTGATTGTGAGAAGTGATCGTCATATACTTATTCCCCTTTACATATATATATGTATGTACCTATGTTGGGTGTTCCCATGGCCCGAGACGGCCCACGCTTACGGGTTAAATAGGGGTTGAGATTGGAAAGAGAGAGAAAACCCCGTTTTATTGTTGAATGTTTCTTAAAGATTTTTTAGTCGGACGTTGGTCCTGGGCTTGGATTCGAGGTCCTTGTCCATGACATCCCGGGTCCTAGACTCTACATGGAAGGGATCTCCCCCCGCGCAGAGCCTATTTGCCCCGCCTGCCGAGACACTCAGCCTAAAGGCCGGAGGTGCCGCGGGGACCGCACGACTATTCTTTCAGCCGTGCAATATTGTGAGGGACTAGACCCTCATGATACTTCGAGAGTGAGACTTGAGTGTCATAAGCGGTACTCGGATCCACGAAGGACCGCTTGATTATGGGCACTACATAGTACGTCATTATCACGATTGCTTGCTTACTCATGCATTGCTCGTCGATATGGGAAGACCCTGCGCCCGCGCAGTTCTATATTAAGTCTCGCGCGCGACGAGTATCCGATTTCCGCATCGGAGAGTTATGGGATGGCTACTAAGGGACTATGAGTGTTGTCGCATTGTTTTTTTTGTGTCGTTCTGTATATGTATATAAATGTGTGTGTGTTTTTATTTTTATGTTCTTTAGAGTAGAGTACGCGTGGTGTGTGGGATGCGTCCTAGTCGACTGGCGACGAGTCACGCTTGGGACCTCAGGCCCCCAAGATGTCAGTTTGCGTGCGGGTTTGATAGAGGCGTATTACCGCGCGTACCCCCTATGCTACAGCATACGAGAAATGCCCTCGGCTGGTCCACCTCTGTGATTGCAGCTGATTAGCTTTCGTACCGTGGACTGGTAGCTCGGCGGGGATACGCCCACCGAAGGGAGGTGACAGCTCCCGTAAGGTGGAGGTAAGTCGTGCCTCGCGTAGGCCATATCCTGTCGTAGGGGCTCGCGAGAGGTATGGCTGATGCACTCAACCGGAGCGGCTTATGGAAGCTCCATATGCATTTGCGACAAGGATCAGATCGACTCCTGCGTGACGCGGCCGGGAGGGTCCCGTGCTTCCTTTTGCGGTGCCGGACCGATGCGCTCGACAGGTGGCGCCATTGTCGGGGATAACGGAAGCCTACCGTTGTCCCTGGTGGAACGACATGTGGGTATGGGGTTGAGAGAAAATCAGGCATATAAGGGTAAAAGTGGATAAATCCATGATAAGGAATGTATGGCGTTTTGCTTGGTTAACTGTGTAAGTGGTAGTCAATAATGTCTTTGACCTATGATTTGATTGATTGTTTGACTGAAAAGGTTGTATGCGAAGTCTTATGGAGCAGACAGACTCTATTGAGATGAGTCTAGAAGGGAAAGGAATGGTAGTGTCTGCTAGGTCTGAAGTGTGCAGAGCTTAGGTAGCTAACCTGATAGGAGTGCGGTAAGTTGGGTTGCTGAATGAAACCTTTATTTCTTCTTATAAACAGGGAGGTTAAAGCGAGAAACGATCGACCAAGATGTTGGGAGGCATAACTGATGGTTCAGGGAAGACCTTGTCAATTGATGATTTGGTCGAGGCCCTGGACAGGGAGAGAGATTACAGAGCAATGTCCCAAAGGTCAACAACTTCCATTTTAATGGGGAGCGAGTTTCAAATTGGTTGGAGTTGGTGGAACAGACACTGGTGGGGCTGTCAGATGCAGTGAAGTTCCAACGTATCTTAAAGTACGTACTCCATGGGCACCACCAGGAGGTAGACAAAGTGATCAATGCTGCTAACGACAGTTGGGTGAGGTTTAAAGATGGGATGCAAAAGAAGTATCGGTTGGGTGATGGATTGTTAACTATAGCCGATCTGGAGGCCATGAATAGGGATGACTTCATAACGGTTGGAGCCTTTGTGCAGGAGTTCAAGAAAAAGGCAAGGAAGGTCTCGAGAATCTCAAAGGAGGCTCAATGTGCTATCTTTCTAGGACTGTTTACAGCCTCGGAGGTTGCCGAGTTGACAAGCCACGGAGGAGGAAGTGCTAAGCTCACATGGGCCACAATTGATAAAGGAGTAGAGGAAGGGGGCCTGGACCAGGTGGAACAATACCAAATGCGCCTGCAGAGGAGAAAGAGGAAGGAACGAGATGCAACCGCCTCAGGGACTCCAGGAGTGAAGCGGATCGTTACGGACGTGCTGGCTGAGCTAGGCTATGGAAAAGATGTCGTAGTACAGAAGAAGGTGGTAATGACGGTCCAAGGGAAAGGGAAGGCATCGGTAGTGGAGGAAGTCGACCAGGAGGAATGGGAAGAGGACGAGCCTGTATCTCAGCATCTGACAAAGGCACAGCGGAAACTACGTAATTTAACGCAGGGCGGGCAAGGTACTGGAAAAGGGCAGGTCCCCCAAGCCCTGGCTGCAACTCCAGCTAGCACGGCGGCCCCATCCAATAGTGCAGGGCCCTCGCAAGGAGGGGCACCTCCATATGGGCAATGGTCGTGGCCCGTGATCAATGCGTTCGTACCATGGGGTAGCCTGCCACCGGCAGGACCAGTAGTACCGTATGTTGGGCCACAAGCGAGCATGCCGCCACCTAGTTATCCTGCAGCCCAGGCCCAGCCTACGGCCCCACCACCATCACCCACGCCCAGTTCACAAGGGAGCGTGGCCGGAGGCGGGAACCAGGGCCAAGGAAACCAGGAAAATGCAGGAACAGGCAGTGGAAGAGGACAAGGCAGGAACGGAAGTGGCCGAGGAGGACAATGGGATGGCCAAGGCCAGGGGAATCAAGGAGGTCAAGGGTATGGAAGGCCCCGTTTTGATTGGAAGACCGCCATATGCCAGCATTGTGACAAGCAAAGGCATACTATACGATTCCGCAATGCGAGGCGGGAAGATGAAAGGACCAGACTGATCTACTCAAACATGGACGAAGATATATATGATCAGTTCGGGGAGTATATTGACAGGAAGGTCCCATGCGGGGTGAGAGCAGAGGCTCTCAGGAGGATAGCAGCACGACAAGCACCACCTGCCACTTTCAGATTATGGCAGGGGAGCGATGACCCGCCGATAAGAGTGGAAGAGATGGAAGGCGATGAGGAGGTGACTCAAAGACTATAGGCGGAGGCCATAAAGGAAGAGCCTATAGTTGTCGAGTCGAATGATGAAGGTGAGAGTGAAAAAGTGGGACCAACGTCTGTCCTTTTGGGAAAGATGGAAGATTTGTGGAACAAGATGAGGCGGTACCGACAAAAATTAGCAGATATATATAAAGAAGTGGAGGAATGAAGAGCCGGAATCCCTTAGGTCTTCCTTTACGATTCGGGTCCTGAATCTATGCCAGGGAGGCAAGGGTACCCTGGAGTTACAACGGTGAGTTCCGGGGGTGAAATCTCGGCCCCGGCTTTGCCCCCGGGAGTCCCCGGGTGACAACCCTGCCCACAGGCCCCCTACTTTATTGGCACGAGCCGCATTGGCCGCACGGACTAGGGGACAGGCAAGGGCAGGGACGAGCCAGGACCCGCCTCCAAAAGAGCCAGAGCCAGAACGCAGAAAGGAGCCTGTGGAAGTGGAGGATGACGATGATGAAGATGAGGAGGATGAAAGGCTCCGGCAAGAGGAAGACAGGAGGGTCGAACAAAGGGCGAGGAAAAGAGGATCCCAGGAAGAAGTCGAGCCGATTTTGCACGATATAACGCCAAAAAAAAAAAAGTATGCGGTCCGACTTGAGGAAGGGTTTGATGTGGAGAGAGTGATCGACATGTTGCTTGAGGGCCATAACGATCTTATGACCCTGAAGGAGATTCTGGCATCTGCCCCAAGGCTTTGTAATAAGCTGAAGGGCGGACTTTCTAGGCGTTTGGTACCAAGTGTCCATCTCAGTGTGATTCTGCCAAAAGAGGCAGAATGGGCAGAGCCGGGAACAAAAATGGACTGGAAATGTGTGGCCTGTGGAATGGTGGATTTGGTAGTGAAGGGAACGAAGTGCGCAACCATGGTGGACATGGGTGCCGAAATGAACATCATCAAGGAGGTGGACACACTTAGGTTTGGACTGGAGATTGACCGTTCAGATTGCGGCATTTTGCACGGGGCAAATTGCAAGGCTGTATTCTGCGGGACGGCCTCGAACGTGCTTATAGAGATTAGGAGGGTAAAGGCTAGAACGTGCTTCTTCGTAATGCCAGATGTGGACCACGCCATCCTCCTTGGAAGGTCGTTCCTATGCAGGACGGAGACCCTGATGTTCAACAAACATGATGGGACGATGATCCTGATTCTTTGTGATCCAGCGTGTGGGAATTACGAGATAATCACAAGCCGAAACACTGGATCGCGGAGCATAAGGAACAGGCCTAACCCTGGTTCCTTCACTACTGAGGAGTAAGAGGACGAGCGCCGGAGACTCCTGGCGGAGCCTGAGGGAGAGGTAAGGGAGGAAGCGTTTTCACTCAGCCTATCTGATGTGAACAAGGCCATGGATATAGTGGTCATGCATGAAATGGCGGATCCAGACGCCATTCAGGCGTTGAGGGAACAAGTCCTGGAATGTCCCCAAGCAGGGGAGATGGAGCTGATTTACCGACTTCCAAGGGGAACAAAGGACTCTACGATGGCGCAGACACAGACGATTAGTCGGCCTTTTTTAGGGGACGGCTCAAGCAGGGTTCCCAAAGGCGGTACCAGACGATAGATAAAAAATGCCACCCAGTTCCCGTTCTCGTTACTGAAGATAAAGAGGTATATTACGATCAGGAACGAGGTTTGATACGACAGATGAAGGAGGGAGCTGCAACAGGGCCATGTCGTATCAAGGAGGGGAACGAGGGGAAGTTGATTGTTGGAAAGCCTGACTTCTAACTGCCCCAGGAAAGGGCGCTAATGATAGAATTAATGAAGAAAAGGCATCGCGCCTATGCGTTTAGCGATGAGCAGCGCGACAGGTTGGATGTAGACAAGATTCCCATCATCCGCATCCATACCGTGCCGCATGAGCCATGGAACTTGAGAGGGGCGCGATATCCTAATCCTGACGAAGAGAAAAAGATGGTAGATTACCTCGATGGCAAGAAACGCACACACGTCACCGATTATTCGAGCGGACCATACGCGTCCCCTTGGTTTTGTTTTATCAAACCTAATGGGACGTTGAGATGGGTGCAGGATTTGCAAAGGCTGAATGCGGTGACTGTGCAAGATGCAGGAGGCTTGTCGAATGCGGATGCGCTGTCGGAATCATGTGCTGGGAGACCAATAATCTCACTTATTGACCTCTATTCCGGATATGACCAGTTTCCGGTCTATCCGCCAGACAGACTAGTAACAGCGATGCATACGCCTCGAGGGCTTATCCATATGAACGTGGCTCCACAAGGGTGGACGAATGTTGTGGCGATGGTTCATAGGCATATGATTTGAGCCATGCAAACAGTTAGTCTGCATATTACGCAGCCATATATCGACGACTTCGCAGTAAAGGGACCAAGAAGGAGAGAGGACGATGAAGTCTTGCCAGGAGTAAGGCGTTTTGTCTGGAAACATATTCAGGACCTTGATAAAGTCTTGAATTTGCTTGAAGAACATAACCTTATAGCAAGTGGAACTAAATCCAGACATTGCATGAGGGAAGCTACCATCTTGGGATTTGTCTGTAGTGAGAGTGGCCGATGGTCAGGTGCTAAGAAGACGGACAAGATTATCGAATGACCAATACCATTTCATTCGATAACAGATGTCAGGAGCTTCCTCGCCACATGTGGATTTTGGAGGACCTTCGTCAATGATTTTGTTGCCAAGACAGAGAATTTGAGGAAGTTGGTACATCTGGATCAAGAATGGATCTGGGGTGAAGATCAGAAGAAGGCGGTGGCAAAAATGAAGGAGGAGTTTCGGAAAGGAGGACTGGTATTAGGGGCGCCGCCGGACTATGACGCTACGGTTAGGCCATTCATCGTTGAGACAGATGCTGGACCAACTGCTTTAGGTGAAGTTCTGATCCATGCAGATATTGAAGGAAAGGAGAGACCATTGCGCTTTGAGAACCGAACTCTGTGTACGATAAAAAGAAATTACTATCAGTTCAAAAGGGAGACTCTCGTGTTCTTCACTGCCTATGGATTTTTTGAAATTACATCTTTGACAGAAGGTTCATATTGAGGGTGGATCCGACGACTTTAACCGTTTCCCTAAGGAACTACGTTCCATCAGATCCAACGGTTGCCAGGTGGCTAACGTACATCTGAATGTTCAACTTTGAGTTGGAGCGGATCCCAGGGAGTAAGAATAGAGCAGACAGGCTAAGTCGCATCAACAGGGATAAGCAGGAAGGAGGGGCGATAGAGGATACGCCCCCAGTTGATGGCTTCTTGGACCAGGAGGAGAACATCCGCCTTCATATTAATGAGTGGTCCCCTCGAGTGCCTAGCTGCGTTGGTCATCCCATTTGGCATGCGCCAAGGGGGTATGAACAGAAGGCAGAGTTGGCACTCAAGCCTTTTGAAGAGGAGGACCATTGGGGTGGCAAGGATGTCCAATGGATGATGAAGCTGGCACTCGCAGGCAAGCATAGTCTGGTGGAGAAGATAAGGACGATAGAGGAAGGTCCAGATCAGGTAAAGAGGCACGAGGAGCTGATGGGAGGAATGTACCTCCTTCTCAATGCACTTCTGCAGGGAACCTCTGATCCGATAGGCTCGTTAAATCCGGCGGAAGAAGGAGCTGTTGTGCCAGAAAACGAGGATGACGAGTTTGAAGAAGGAGAGATCAAAGAGGTCTTCCGCGCAGAGGAGTATGATGGTATTTACCTGGAACTGGGGTTCCTGCTATCATGCGAGATGAGAACCAGGGATGCAAGTGAAAGAGCCCAGAGGATGAAGCACCTCTATCTGGTGACAGATGGTCATCTCTTTGTAAAGACGCAAATGGTGAACCCAAGAAGGGTCGTGTGTAGAAGAAATCGCCAGATAGACGTGATAGTTGCGCTTCACGATGGCATTGCAAAAGGGCATCGATGAGTTAATGCCACATATGCTAAGATAAGCAAACTGTATTACTGGGATGGAATGATGGAAATGGTAATCAAGTATTGTCGATCCTGCATACCCTGTCAGGAGAGGTCTCCCTTAAGGCCTGCATAACCTTTGCATCCGAGATTGGAGAAGGAAATAGGGGTCGTGGTACATCTCGACTTGCTATTCATGTCGATCGGGGATCATGGCTACAACTACATCTTCGATGTACGAGATAACCTTACTGGCTTTGTGGATGGTCGGACCATTTGTACAAAGACCGGTCTGGTCCTCGTAAGTTGCATCGAAGAATACTATCTACGTTATCCCTTCGTCCGAGAGTTCGTGATGGATAGGGGATCGAAGTGCACTTGCAAGGAGGTGCAGGAGTTATTGGAAAGGTATGGTGTGGTGGCCAACTATACTACGGCTGCCCACCCACAAGCAAACGCTCCGGTTGAAAGAGGGCATAACACCATTACGAACCTTCTGGCTAAGTGGACTGAAGGTAGGCCTAATCAGTGGCCAAGGTACCTGAGGGCGGCGTTCTTCGTCCAGAATGTCACGGTGAAGAGGACCACTAAGTATGCGCCAACTATGCTATGGTATGGAAGGCATGCTACATTCCCAATTGAGAGCTTCTTGAAACCTGGAGGCGCCAGGACCTAGAGACCAACTTGTCTTTTGAAGAGTTGCGTGACATTCGGGCACGATAGGTGGGGGCAATTGAGGAAAGGATTCTGGAGGCATCAAGTCAAGTAGAAAGGAGTCGTATGGATGATGAGGCTCGTTGGGACTAAGCAGCGCGCGTGCGGAAAACGCCTTTGAAGGTGGGGGACGTCGTGTTGTTGTACGACTGATCCCTGGAAAAACAGTGGTCCAGAAAGCTTGATAAAAGATGGTTGGGGCCCTATCGGATCATGTGTTATGGAGAGTTTGGCGCTTACCAGATTGAAGAGTTGGATGGGACAGAGTGAAAGGATTGGGTGTCAGGGACTCGGCTCAAGAAGTTCGTAGCCAGAGAAGAGGTGAGATAAGAGTCATAAAAACCCCATCGTAGTATGTAGTTAATAAGAAGAGTGTGAAGGTTGTTAGATAGGATAGAAGAGTTAGGGATAGAGTTTGGTTGTGTATGTATGGTTTGACCTGAGCCTGCTATGCCCCACCTGTATGCTTACCCCTTTGTGTGCCCATCGCCTCCTTTCGCCTGTTGTGCAGGTCTGACTTTGCGAAGACAGCCATGCCAAGAGGATGGAGGGAGATGCGGCCATCGAGAGGACCATCAGGGGCATCAGGGGGACATAAGCGGCATGGATCTTACCAGAGGGAGCATACACCAGTATACGACGATGGGGACATAAAGCTCTTTCTGGACGATTTCAGGAGTTATGCAAGTCGCAGGAGATGGACTGTAACTCGCATGATTGAGAGGTTGAGGGGAGCGGGACGCTTCGCAGAGCCCATTGCACGGATCCGTGAGGAGACAAGGATTTGGTAGGAAGTGGAGTTGGCAATGCAAAGACTGAGACCTTCACCAGTAGGGGTAGACGGGCAGCCGATCCGTCTCCAGATTGGGAATGTGGAGGAGTTTATTTCGGCCTTTGAGGTATCCTGAGGGACCAATGGATGCAGACGTTACCACTATGGTCGAGGAGAGCCGAGAGACCATTGGCCCGAGCGATCAGGGATAGGGCGCGTGACTGGGAAGGTTGCAGGGCGCACTTGAGGGAGGCCTTTCGGAGGCCAGAGCCAGTGCTACCTCAGCCCATGGTCGAGAGGCGGCAAAGGAGTAGCGGGACGCTTCGCAGAGCCCATTGCACGGATCCGTGAGGAGGCAAGGATTTGGTAGGAAGTGGAGTTGGCAATGCAAAGACTGAGACCTTCACCAGTAGGGGTAGACGGGGAGCCGATCCGTCTCCAGATTGGGAATGTGGAGGAGTTTATCCCGGCCTTTGAATGATTTATGCACGAGCAAGGTATCCTGAGGGACCAATGGATGCAGATGTTACTACTATGGACGAGGAGAGCAGAGAGTCCATTGGCCCGAGCGATCGGGGATAGGGCGCGTGACTGGGAATGTTGCAGGGCGCACTTGAGGGAGGCCTTTCGGAGGCCAGAGCCAATGCTACCTCAGCCCATGGTCGAGAGGCGGCAAAGGAGTAAGAGGCAAAGGGAACCTAAGCCTAGGGAGGCTGCCCCTAGTCGAGGAGGACGGAAGGCAATGGCACAGTGAAACGAGGAGCCCAATTAACCTGCGCAGGAGTCAGGCATGTATCCAGAGTGTGGACTGGGACCAGTGGCTTTCCAGCCTTTCACTGAAGGGAGATTACAGGAACCTCCACAACAGGTGTCAAAAGAGGTTGTGCCGACAGAGGATTCTCTACAGAGCTTGGAGGCGCACTTGGACGCCTCGCAGTGGAAGGTGCCCTAGACCAGTGGAGGTCAGGAAGGCAGGCCCTGCGCCCGAAATGAGCAGCAAGCAGGAGGGGTGATCGGGATAGGAGAGGATACTCCTCCTCACCAGTCAGCCCCTACTCCAGAAATGGAGGTCGAGCCGATGGATATTCAAGAAGGGGGCGGGAGCCTCGGCAAGGAGAGACACCACCACCACCTCTAGACACGATTCGATCGCCAAAGGTGAGAGTAGAGACAGCGCTGGAGGAGACAGATTGGAGGAGGGAGGCAGTCACTACAGTAGACAGATATCTAGCAGCGCATGCTAAGGAGCACCCTGATCTAGGTGGGGCTCCAATGGAGGAGCCATTGCAAGAACCTCATCCCCTACCATTGGAAGTATAACCTGAGGCCTCATTGGATGACATCCGCCCTGTAGAAGGGAGAGCACATCCAAGGGAGACGGCTGAGGAAAAGAGGGTCAGGACAGGCAAACGTTTGAAGGAGATATGGCAGGAAGGGCAGAGGTTGGAGGCAGCAGGGGCACTTCCACACCAACCGCCCAACATACCAGCCAAAGCCCCAGGAATTTCAAACATGTGGAAAGAGTTTTGGGAGCAGAAGGCTAAAGAACTCACTTCGCCGCTAGAGATGGTTTCGGGATAGCCAGGCAGGCAGAAGAGTCTGGATCGCAGAATCCGGTTTTTGGCCAGGACGAGCTTCAACAGATATTTAATGTTGGAGGGTGACCTGGCAGGAAGAAGATAAAGGAAGAAAGCCATGGGGTATGTCTGGAAGCATTGGATGCAGAGATCCAAGAACTCAAGACATTAGCAACTAATCAGGCCGCCATCATTCAGGGTCTGTTGGAGGAAAGGAAGAAGAGAGGGGCACCCACGAGGGCAGTGGACCAAACAGAAGGGGCTCGATACGACGTTCAGGAACAGATGGCTCAGAGATCTGGGCAGCCATCTGAGGCAGGACCTTCCCAGGGGCCGTCCTTTGGAAAGGTCATCCTGGAACCAGAAGAGGCTAAAGCAAAAAGGGAAGCGGAGAAGGAGGTCCCGATGGAGTTTGCGACCCTACCAGTGGAGCCTTAAGGAATCATGCCCACATCCTCGCCAATGCTAGGCAAAGAGGGATCACATGGAGCCACTAGTGAGCCGGCACAAGGATCAATGGAGGGGTCCATGGGTGTGCTTCTAGAGGCGCTTGACACTATGCAGGAGGAAGCAAGCACACCTATGCCCGAGTTGGGCACTGAGATTGTAGGCAAGGAGCTACCGGTGATGGTATCAGGAGAGATGTTGGAGAGCAGACCCCAGAGATTAGATACGCCTTAGTACATTCCAGAGGTGAGTGATCTGAGAAGTAGACTGGGATCTTGGGCTACTGGATCCGGTTTTGGGGATCAGGCCCCTTGGTCAGAGCAGCAGGAGGTTGCCAGTACTGTGGTTGGATCCCCATCATCGCCGCCACTGCGGCCAAGAAAAAAGAAGTTCAAAAGGAAGGTTGATCAACTCTGCTTCCTTTGCAAGGATGACATACATTGGGCCCTCGAATGTCCTAAGTTCCTCAAGGACAAGGCGGAAGGGAAAGTCTCAGAGAGTGCTGGAAAGATGTACGATAGACAGGGTAGAGTGGTGGAGAGGTCTGCCGATGGAGGTAGGGCTCAGTTATATAGGCAAAATCAGGAGGACATGAGTGAGTAGGGACTGGTTTGCCCAGGTGTAGATAGTCACTAGGATATTGTGGGATGAGTTGAGTTCGTATATCAGATTGGATACTTGCTTTTATGGTTGTTTTCTGTTTTGGTACTGCTAGGAGTTGAATGCTTATGCACACTAACAACGAGTTGGTTGCACTCAATCGGACTGTAACTCGGATGGAGTTGCACCAATGGGAATTCGAAGGAATATGGAATAATTTCCTGCGTTGTGCCTCCGAACAGATTGATCATCGTATCTATGAGTACGTTGACCAATTAGATAAAGCCCTCGTCAAAAGGTTGATCAACCCTGCTGTGGTAAGAAAGTTGAAGATTGGAGGCGGGGCAGGAGATGGAGGCGATGATGGAGATGATCGGGACAAAAAGGGAAAGGGTGTCAAGAAGGAGAACGACGGTGAAGCGGAGGAATCCAGGGAAAAGATGAAGGTAAAGTTGCCTTGGACTTATACGGGGAAAAAGGAGGAAAGCATCTTCCACTGGGAGGCGGCTATGGACACATATCTGTATGCACAAAAGATTTCATACTGGGACCGTGTGTTAATGGCAAGTTCATTTATGGCAGGGGACGCAATTGGTTTCGCTATCTCTTTGATAAAAGAGGTTGGCTGCACAACCATGGTTCAATACTCTCAACAGATACGGATCAAAGACTTCTTCAGAGCCCTTAGAGAAAGGTTCGAAGATAAGAACCTGGCCCGTAGGACTGAGTCTTTGATCCTTAACATTGGTGATCGTAAGTGGAAGAGTGTGTCGGCTCTCAAAGCTACTGTGGATGAACTTTTGTAGTGTCCGGGTCATGGACTGACGCCTGCACAGATTCAGAATAACTTCGCTAGAGCGCTCCCAGATCCCTTAAAACACAACTTTATTCCTGCACTAAAGAGGAAGGAATGACATACGAGAAGTTTAGTAAGATCGCCGTAGATCACGTTAGCTTCCTGCAAGAGGCACAATATTGCCATTAC